AAGAAAATTGGAAGAAAGGTCAAGGATATGTATGCTGAGGTCACCAAGAATGATGACAGTGAACGAGGACGGCCCTTAACAGGACGGACTGACATCGTAGCTGCACCAATGGGCTCAATCCTAAGAACACTTAGAGGACTGCATAGAACCAGGCAGTGCTATGTCTGTTGCCCACAGGATCACTGTACGCAAGGAACTGACTGCAGGGCACTGCTCAACAACTTCAATGAAGCAATGCAGTTCCCCAAAGGAAAGAGTCCTCTGAAGTGAGAGGACAAAGCACATTGTGTTTCTTCTCAGGGGACATCCTATCTCATTAACATAACAAAGACAAACCATTCCCAAATGGAATTAAAACCACAGGCATAAAGGTTAGGATTCACATCTCATAGCTGGGGAGGACACAATTCAATCTATAACATTCCACCCTTTGGCCCCCAGAGATGCCTGACCTTGCCAAATGCAAAGCACATTCACTCCGTCACATCACCCCCAGAGTCCAAAATCCCATCTTCTGAATCATCTAAATTAAATATGGGTGAAAATTTAGGCATATTCCATCCTGGGGCAAAATTCCTCTTCATCCCTGAACCTGTGAAACCCAGAGTACCAATTATCTCTTTTCCAAGTATAATGGTGGAAATGTGCAAGGTGGACATTTCCATGACAAAGCAATCAGGAGAATCAGTGGTAATAGGCGCCAAGTCAGTCCATACCCCAGCAGTAGAATTTACATGAGCTCTCAAGGCTCACAAACACTCCTCTGAGCGATGGCCATGCCTTCGAGACTCTAGGCCTTAGCCATACCCTCTGGATTCTGAGTTTGAGACCCCTAAGCCATAGCCTTCAGCCCTACCTTCCAGATCTCTTGGGAAAGCAACTGTGGTCCCTGGACTTCAGTTGGCCCCATTCTCCTGGTTCATCCAAATCATGATACCCACACGCTTGGCAGGCCCTATTCTTTTCCTTGGACATGGCAGACCTGCTTTTCTGCTTCGGGCAGTGGCCCTGCTCTCTCAGCCAAGCTGAATCACAGTACTGAGTCCCAGAACCTCGATGGTGAAAAACTGACTTTCCAACATGTAGGAGGTCCTTTGGGATCCTCGAGGTTGTGACCCCACCTTTGCGACTGAGGCAACTCGGCGGCGCCATGTTCCTTCTAACAGTTGTGCTGGCCCCTGAGCTACTTCAGAAATGGCCCTTTTCTTGGAAAACAACAGATGTAGCTTCTTTGGCCTCCTTTCTGGTTGTGTCTAGACTATATTCATTTCCTCTTTCTTTGTGCCCTTCAGTCGAAGCTGATGAGTTTTATGCTGTGCTAATTGGTTAGATTCAGTCACAGGCTTAATCTCTGTTAACAAAGATTGTATAGCCATGGCCTTAGTGAAAATTCTAGGACACATGCCCAGAATTTTCAAATCTTTAAGTTTTGTTCTCATTTTGCACTGTTAATCTTTCAGGCCATCTCTTGACTCGTTCGTTTTGTTTTACATGATGAGGAGAAACCATGGTGCCAGACCCTTGAAAATCTGGCTTAGAAATCTCCTCAGCTATATACCCAAGTTCATCAAGTACAGGTTTTACTTTCTGCCAAACATCTGACCATTACTCAGATAAGTTCTTTGCCACTGCATAAAAAGTATCAGCCTTCTTTCATTGTTCAATCACAAGTTCATCATGCGCTTTTCAAGCCTCACCCAAAGCCTCATATTTATTGTTTATATTTCTAACAGCACTCTGTTGCTGGCGCCAGATGTGTGCTATAGTATTACTCTGTCACTCTTTCCACTTCTTTCTGACCCTTCTCCAGAATTGCCCTTCACAATCATAATTTTTCCAAAAGTCGCTTCAAGACAATCTAGTTTTTTACTATTAGGTATCTTACAATTCTTTCAATCAGTACCCATTACCCCATTCCAAAATCACATCTACATTTTAGGCATATGTTAAAGCAGCACTCCCAATTCTTGGTATCTATTCTTAGTTATCTAGTCTTGCTGTAACAGAAATACCATAAATAAATGATTTAACAAACTGAAATTTATTCTCTCATGGCTTGGGAGGTTAGAAGTCCAACTTCGGTAGAAAGGAGGAACTGATTACAAGGATCTACATATAGCCTCCTCCCTGGGGGATGGACAACAGAAAAGTGGGTGAAGGGAGACACTGGGCAGTGTAAGGTATGATAAAATAATAATTTATAAATTATCAAGGGTTCATAAGGGAGGGAGAATGGGGAGGCAGGGGAAAAAATGAGGAGCTGATACCAAGGGCTCACGTAGAAAGCAAATGTTTTGAGAATGATAAGGGCAACAAATGTACAAATGTGCTTGACACGATGGGTGTATATGTGGATTGGGATAAAAGTTGTATGAGCCCCCGATAAAATATTTTAAATAAATAAATAAGTCCAACTTCAGGACACTGGCTGTGGGGGAAGGCCTTCTAAACTGCTCTAGGAACAGGCCCTCATTCCTTGGCTCCTTGGTGATCTTCATGTGGCATGGCATTTACCCTCTGCCATTTCTGCTTGCTTGCGTACTTCTTTAATCTCTTTATATCTTAAAAGAGATTGATCCAAGGCACATCCTATACAAATCCTGTCTCAAAGACAACCCCTTCCCAAACCTGATTAAACCCACAGGCATAGAGGATAGGACTTACAACATAGATTTTGGAAGGATACAATTCAACCCAGAATAATTTAGAAGGGCCTCTTGTCTCTAATAGCAGCAAGGTAGAAAGCTGGTGGGAGTGATAGACTCAATTATAGGAGGTGCTAGGGACTCCCTCTGGACAGCTTTGTGGGGTATGTATGGTACCTGAAGAACAAGGTGAGAAGTGGCCATCACTTCTCTAAGGCACCCTGACCCTCAAGTCTACCTGCTCCACAGTCACACCCTGGACTGGGTCATCACTCAGAGAAGTTCTATTCTGAATCTTAAGTTCACACATTATCACTTGCTGAGACCAACCTCCTTCTTTTCCAGACCCCTTACTCAATTGCTCTTTTTATTCTTCTCCACCTCCTGGGAACTTCCACCTTCTTTATGTATGTCAATATAATGTCCCTCTTATCCTCAATCCCTACCTAGTTTTTGGCCCATCACTTCAGCTACTTTCAAGAACCCTAGTTCCCTGACCTATTGCTCTTTCATTCTCAATGCCTAACAAACTCCAGTTCTGGTTGAAATCAACTCTATTATTTCTGTACATATGCCTGGCTTACAACTACTACTTGGGGAAATCCTACAACTGGGATTAAAGGTATCCCACACCACATATTTTAAAATATAATTGTGTAAGGCAGCAGTTCTCAACCTGTGGGTCCAGACTCTTTGGGGGGGTCGAATGATCCTTTCACGGGAGTTTCCCAATTCATAACAGTAGCAAAATTACAGTTATGAAGTAGCAACGAAAATAATTTTATAGTTGGAGATCATCACAACATGAGGAACAGTATTAAAGGGTCACAGCCTTAGGAAGGTTGAGAATCACTGGTATAAGGGCAAAAATGAGTGAAGCTCAAAGTGAAAATTCAAGACAGTATGGCTGTCTATAGACCGAACGGAATTTTCCTTCATCTCCTCCCTAAAACCATCCCCCAAAGCCTCCACTGCTTTTAATTGTCTGGCCTACGTTCTATCCATTCACATATGATTTCCAAGTGTGCACTATTGTCTTAAATATAGATCTACATATACATCAGCATACATATAGACAAACATACATGTGAGTAGATTGCTAGAATTGGAGTAGGCGCTTGTTTGGGAACTGTCTGCTACGAACTGGAATCCAATCTACAGCAGTGGGTTCGTTCGGGTTTTGGTGTTCTTGGTTGGACAACTTGTTTTTTTTCTTTTCAACTCGATATTTCTTAGTGATCTTCTCCAGAGCTATAGATATGCTGCCTTCTACAAAATATCCCCGGCCCTTATTTACACTACGTGACAGTGTTAGATTGGGATGTGCTAGTACATGTCTTTCACTGAGCACATGTGGCACATGTGCAACTGTTTCTCGGAAGTGGCAATGCTTGGTCAAAAATACATATTTAGCAATTTAAAAAACTCTTCTAAATTGTCATCCAAAAGTGGGGGTACGGGGGCAGGAGGAGGGCCATATGAAATTGCCCTCCCAACTAGACACAAGAGTTACTGTCCACGGTGGAGGTTCTCAGCACTACCCTGCCCCGGCTTCCTCTGCGCTCCTATTGAAACCCCCATCCCCATCCAAACACACATATTCTTAGCAAATGATCTCACCCACTGTTTGCAGAGAAACTGCTACCGGAGAACTTTCTCGGCTTCCTACCAAGCCTAAAACTCACCGGTCCACCCCCATCCTGTCCTTCCGTCCTGTTATAATGGGGGGAAGAGGAGGTGAGGGGAGTCTTTCCTCCTGCATGAAGCCAATCCCGGCTGCGAGGCCCTTCACAAAGGGCTGGCTACATTCTGTCTAAAGGTCTCAACTTCAACACTCCTCAGCTAACGCCAATCTGTCTTGTGCACTCGCCGCCCTGGCCGGTAGAGACCACCCTCTGGAGGCTCGCCTTGAGCCTCCTTGTGGTCTTTATCTGAGGGGGCACTATTGTCCACTCCAGCTTGAAACACTCTCTTCATAGAAATGTCACTCTCCTGATTTCTCCCTTTCCCTCTGGCACTTCGTTCTCAGTGTCTTTTCGTTCAAGGCACGGCTTAGAACGGAATCGAAGCCCTGATTCAAATCTGAAAGTTTGGGGTTTGGGCCCTGCGCTCACTCGTCTCTTTCTTCCCTTGGAGACGTCACCCACTCACTTCTCAGTGATCAGCACCCTGTCTTCTCCTCCTGGATGTCGAGCTTCAGCCCAGAACACAGCCTGGTCCCCAGCGGACTTCATCCTTGCCACCCACCCACCCAGCCAGGCCACGCCCTAGCTCCTCCTCCGGGAAGTCTTCCCTGACTCCTCTCTCCTCTGCAGCCTCCCGATGGACGTGTCCGCCGCCACGTGGCTCCAGTACCTCGCAGACCTGGGGAATGTAGTTCTCCTTGAAGTAGTTCCTCAGCCAGGGCTTGGCACTGCGGAGCGAGGCCATGGCCAGCGGCCAGACTCAGCCTCCGAAGCGGCGCTCACGGGTGCCAGCTCTCTGCGCCCAAGCGGCAGGCGGCGCGCGAGGGCTGGGGGCTGGTGCGTCTGACGTTGCCGTGGCAACGTGGGAGCGGGGCGGGGCCTGGGTCTCCCCGCCCCCCAGCTGCAGGGCTGTCGGAGGGAGGCGGGCCCGTGACCCGGGCTAGAGGCTCTTGGGAGAAGCGAGTGGGAGGCGCGCGCTGTGGTCGCGTCCCCAGTTCTCTCTTCAGGGCGCGCGGGCCTGCAGCCCCTCGGAGGCCGGCTGCCCACCTGCCCCGGCCCCACCCTCCGGCCGTGGCCCGGCGGGAGGCATTACGATTTTAGCTGGGCCGTTTCCGGGAGGCGGAGCTCAGACCCCCATTTCCTTTCTCTACGGCTAGGTTGCACTTGGGGGCGGCGACGCTCTCGGGCCCGGAGATCGCCTGCGACCGGTGCCCAGGCTGCACCGAGGCTTCTGTGAACGTCCTGCGCTCCCGCGGGCTCCGCGCTTCCACCCGACAGCAGCATGGGCGGCGCCCGGGACGTGGGCTGGGTGGCAGCGGGCCTGGTTCTGGGGGTCGGTGCCTGCTACTACATCTACCGGCTGACGCGGGGCCAGCGGCGGGGCGCCCCCCGCGGGCCCCGGCTGCGCCCCTCTCCATCCATAGGTGAGAGCCCGAGCGGGAGGGTGCAGGCCTGCGGCCACGGCGGGAGGGGGCAGGGGGAGGCGGGGTGGGGGGTGGGATTCCAGGGCCGGGGTGGGGACCACAGACTGTGCAGGCGCCCTTGGCTTTCCCGCCCTCCGAGGAAAATGAGCGAGCAGACCAGAGGCGGGAGGGCAGCTAGCAAGAGGACGAGCCCGGGAGGCTCAGGTGGAGAGGGCGGACCACCCGCTTGACTTGGGTGGGCGAGGGGACCTGGTTCCCCCCACCCCTCCTGTCGCCACTTCTTTGTTCTGAATCTGGGGTGGAAATTTTCCCACACAGCAGCCTCCTGTGTTCCAGGTCCAGCGGAGCATGGCTGCCTGACTTTAACGCCTGCTCGGGGCTTTGCTGTGATCAAAGGGTTTCTCCCGGCTGTGGATGTAGCGATTCGGGGCCTGGAGCCGTAAAATGAAATTCTGTGTGCAGCTGGCCTGAAAGGAGGGACGCCACAGGGCCGGTCCTGCCTGCATTCAGGGAGATACCGTACCTTGTGAGCACCGGAACCCAACCTCTGGCCTGCAACTCCTCAGAGCCAGAAAATATCAGAACCTCGGTTTCTAAGGTTGAGCAGAACCTGGATTCCTAAGGTGTCAGTGTGGCACGTGATGGACTGTGTAAGGTGTAAAAACCGGCATCCAGGGCTCCTGATCATAAGACTTAGTCATGATAATGGGCCTGGCCTTTAAGATTTTCCTAATGGAGGCTTTTTTTTTTTTCTTCTCAATTCCTTGCCTTAAACACAAATTCATTGTATGTAGATGAATCTTAACTAACGTTCTTCGTATGCAGAAGACCTAACAGATTGTTCCTGTGATGATGTTCTGAATGCGGAACAACTTAAGAAACTCCTTTACCTGCTTGAGTCCACCGAGGATCCCGGAATTCTTGAAGGAGCTTTGGTCACTCTGGGTAACAGCGCAGCCTTCTCCACTAACCAAGTGAGTACCCTAGCCTCAGCAGGCATGCTCCTTCCATTCTTCTGCTCTAGAAGTTACTGTGGCTCTGGATAAGTTACTCGGCCTCAATTTCCTCATCTATGACACGTGGCTCCCTGTGCTCACATGTCTACCTCTCAAAAGCCCACCGTGGGCGCTTGAGTCTAGATCAGTGGTTCTCAACCTTCCTAGTGCCGCGACCCTTTAATACAGTTCCTCATGTTGTGGTGACCCCCAACCATAACATTATTTTCGTTGCTACTTCATCACTGTAAGTTTGCTACTGTTATGTTATGTAAATATCTGATATGCAGGATGTCTTAGGCGGCCCCTGTGAAAGGGTCGTAGGGACCCCCAAAGGGGTCAAGACCCACAGGTTGAGAACCACTGATCTAGATACACACGGCCTTGGTCAATGGGGAACACATTCATATTGATCATATTGAATCCGCCTTGGATATGGCATAGTGCTTGAAGTATTTAAAATTCAGAAGCACTTAGTAGGACAGCAGAGCATGTTGTATTTAACCTGAGGTACGATGCTGAGTGGCTGTGCTCTGTTAACTGAGAGGGTTTGTGGCATGGATTCACCTGCTGCTCAGAGAAAGATGTAGTTGTTAGCATCCCTAAAGATGATAGCTTTAGAAACCCCATGTAAGGGTAGTTCTACCAAGGAGCTTCAAAAAGTTTGTGGGAATAAAGTGGAATTCAATTTTCTGTGATCTTTTTGAAAATCTCTCATACCCTGCCCTTCGGGGTCACTGAGTTGAATCACTGAGTTGGCCTTTAACTACGCACTTTAAATTATATGTTCAGCTTTACAATCATGGTTAGTTAATGCTGCCATGGCAACTACAGGTTGAAAGTGGTAATAAATTATCATATATATGAGGGTAATTGTTATAGATACTAGGATTCCAGTTATTCCACACCAGACATGTTTAAACAAGTCTCCCATCAGTGGATGGCTGCAGATAAAGTCTCTCAGTAGTATGCATGTCTTAAAGGCTTCCTCCAGCAGTGGCTTCTGAGGGGACCTGCTTGACCAGTTTATTTCTAGGCAGACAGGTCAGAGGCTATTGTGACTTTTCCTCCACAGGGTGATCTTGTTGGAGTTTCTTGAAGGCCACCACAGGTCAATCACCAGGGCTTCTTATGAAGAAATTTTGCAAAAATGGAAACATCCACTGGTGATTAAAAAAAAGACCAGGACTTTTGCTCTGGGAATTTTTTCCATCATGATACACTGCACCTGGTCATTCTTTGAAGATAGCTAGGGCTGCCCTACAAGCATTTGGTTGGGAAGCCTTAACCCAAATTTACCCCTCTGTTCCTAACCCTGCCCCTCAGGCTTCTTTGGTACTCCAAACCCAAAGAACATATACAAAGAGCATCATTTGAATTTCTGGAGGATGTTACAACTGCAGTCTTGTTTAAACCAAAGCACGGGATTCTTTGGGGACAGGTGAGAGAGATGGAAACCCCATTTTCAGAGGTATATATAGATAGCTTGAGGAGATGTTGTTGAGAAAAAACAGCTTCACAGTTTGATAGTTTAAGATTTCTTTGATCTTTTTAGCAATACTTTTTTACTTATCCTCATAATTATGGATATTTCATCCATATATTTAGTATGTAAAACATCAAGTAAACTATAGTAGATAAGATTTTCTGATGGTTTTTACATCCTATTTCTCCAAAGTGATCATCAAGCTTTAGTATGCATCAGAATGATCACAACTTGAAAATGGTAAAAGGGTCAATTCCTGGACCCTTTGCCCCAAAGTGTTAGTTCACTAGGTAGGGCTAGGGCTCAGGCATCAGAATTTCTTACAAGCACTCAGGTGTTTCTGAGGCAAGTGGTCCCTTGGACGGGATCTGAGAACCACTAGTCAATATAATTGACTCCTACGACACTTACTCTCAGGACTAAAGAACTAAATCTGAATGCCTCCCTGCTCCCCACTCCCACCTCTCGCATGGGGGGAAAAAGATCGTGTTCCAGTTTTTTTTCAGCTGGTTAGCATTATCACACATATAATTAAAGTTATTTTTAACTCATACATTATTTCAGTCCATTTTTATCTGCATGATATATACTACGAACCTCTGAACATGTCTAGGGAGATTTAGAGAATAACAGTTTATTACTTGCATCAGTACTAAATGACAAGTGACTGAACACAACTTATTTTGAGCTCCCGAAAAGGAAAAGAATTGGACTTAGTTGCCTGAAACATTCAAGAATAGTCTTGATTTCAGGCACAACTGAATCCTGTTCAAGGTTGCAGAAAGGGCTATCAGAGCTCTCTCCCTTTCCCCACCTTTTGGCTTTGCTTACCTCTTAGGTTTTCTTGTTTGTTTTGTTTTGTTTGTTTTTTAATTGATCTTTGTCTCTTTGGCCACAAAGAGGTTTTCTTCACCAGGATAGAAAGAAAACCCTCATCCCTTGTAGCTAATGATAGAAAAGATAGAAACTCCTCTCTTTCTTCTCTGCCCCCTCCACCCCACCTCCCCACCCCAATGTATCAAACCTTGGAGAAAATGTTTCATGTTGGCCTTGCTAGCATCGAGTGCCAACCCTTTGAAGCAATTGCTGGGTCAAGGGACCACAGTCCAGGATCAGTGTAGCCTGGCTCCTGTGAGCATCTTACAGCCGAGGAACAGGGATGGATGTCACAACAATTGACAAATAGTCCCATCAGGACCTGTGTGGGATGCAAGAGATTCTATGTCTACCCCAGTGGAAAGAGATTTGCCAAGCAAAGAAAAACAATAGATGTTGCCCGCATGCCTATATTGGGGTGCGTATGATGCCATGGTTGTATAAGTCTCTGAAACAAATAGAATGGGTCAGTAACCATTGGTGAATAAGTCATGACCTAGATAATATGGGTTACTACAAGTTACCATCCATTACAGTCCCTTGATCTGCTTTAACATTCGAATACAGACGCTGTTGGTACCCGCAGTCCTGGGGAGGTGCCTGGAATGGCAGTGGGAAAGCATTTTCTTTCTGTGCTAGCTCAGTCTATAATGCCATGCCTTAGCCTCACAAGAGTAATTTTAAGCATCTTTTTCTTCAAAGAATTGAAGAAAAGGTGTTATGTTTGAAGTGTGGGGGCCAGAGATAAAACCCTTTTGCATCGCATCTACTCACTTACCGACTATCTAGTTATCTGATATTTTGCATTTATAACAATGGTGAACAAGTCTACTGGTTATTTTGCACCTTAAAGATATGCATTGACCATCGTGAGCGCCAGGGTGTGAGGAGAGTACTATTGGCTGCGATAGCTAATGTTAAAGGGCAACTTAGCTGGGCCCTGGCTATCAGTGGTTTGGCAGTTAAATAATAATGCAATTTGGCAGATATGTAATGAAGTAGTCATCCTCCATTTTGTAATTATATGTGGTCATCCATATCTGCATAATGCTAATTTTCATATAAAGGCCTGGTCTTTGGAACTTAACAATGTTGATAAGAGGAGCAGAGGTGATTGTGAACAATTTTGATGATTTTTGAAAATCTGTGAAACACTAGGCCTGCAAGATATTAATAGATGTTCTCCCGACTCCTACCACTGAAAAATGGCCCTCTCGTGTATCGTGGAGCCCTGATGGGGTAGCGGGTTACACCTGGGACTGCTAACCCCAGGGTCAGTAGTTTGACCCTACCTGCCACTCTGAGAGAGAAAAGTGGAACTTTCTGATCCCATAAAGAGGTGCAGTCTCAGAAACCCCCAGGAGCAGTTCTACTCTGTCCATGGGGTCACTATGAGTCAGGATTGACTATGGAGTGAGTCAGGTTTTTCCATTTTTTATGGGTATATAATGTGCAGAAATATGATATATTCAATACCCTTCTCTCATAGAAATTGGGGTTTTCTGAAGCATTTTAGCATTTTAATGTCTCACAGTGAAGAGCCATGTTTACTCTTTATACCCAGATTTTCACAACGATATTTAACCAAAGAATTCCCTTTTGTTATGGAATATCTCATCCTCCTGAAGAATGAGTCTTCCAAAGAATACAGTTCAGCAGAACACTACTTTGGTATCATAGATCTTAATACTTCCAAAGTTTGCCTCTACTTAAGGTGTTAATTCTGTGGTGAGCTGATATCAGGGACTCAAGTGGGAAGAGAGTACTTTGAAAATGATGATGGCAGCATTGTACAAATGTGTTTGACACACTGGATGAATGTATGGATTGTGATAGGAGATGTAAGAGCCCCCAATAAAAGTATTTAAAAAATAAAAACAACAATCATCCAAAAAAAGAGATGTTAACTCTATTTCTAGGACCTCTGGTGGTGTAGTGGTTAAGTTACAGTCTGGGAAACTCCCAAGGTCACTTCTACCCTGCCCTATAGGGTCCCCATGAGTCAGCATTCACTTGATGACAGTGGAAAGGAAGTTAAAAAAACTTAGGTCAAAACAAAATGATTTTTGTTTGTGAATTGCTTTAAGATAAGTGCATGAGCTCTGCAAATCTTTGTATCTATGCTACAGTTTAAATAGCTACATATCTTAACTTACGTTTCATTTTCTTTACCTATAAAATTGTGGATAGTAAAAAAAATCAGGGGCTACATATTATAATTGTATACGGTAAAGGCATCTTCAAAGAGTTAGTTTTAAAATTGTATTTGTAGATACCAAGAATTCCGGGGAAAGGAACGTATATTGATGTCATAGTCTTGTGTGCTCCCTCGTAGGCCATCATTCGTGAACTGGGTGGCATTCCGATTGTTGGGAGCATGATCGCCAGTCCCAATGACAGTATTAAGGAGAAAGCCTTAAATGCACTGAATAACCTGAGTGTGAACGTTGAAAATCAAGAGATAATAAAGGTGAGTTATCTGGAAGCACAAATATGGAAGGTGTGCTATGAATGAAAGAAAATAAGTTGGTTTTAAACCTTTAGCTGACTGTTCTTTGTGACTTCTTGGCTGTGAATTCTCCTTAGAAGAGTGGCGAATGAGCCAGGGGCAATGGGAGATGCATTGGACTTTGGAAGTTGGGGATCGGTTTAATCCAAAGTGTGGTAAAGGAGCCAGCTCAGAATCTGATCTCATCAGCAGAAAGGGACATAAGAAATTAGGGAAACATGCTAATTTTTTAAAAAGTCAACACACATTGAGTCCCTGCTCTGTGCTACAGAATATAGAAGTGGACGTGATGCAACTCTCGCAAGAAAGCTAGATGGGGAAGGGGAAGGCAGCTCCATACATGGTTGTCATCCCAGGCAGAAATAATTCAGTGCTTTAAGGAAAAATAGAAGTGAAGACATGCTTGACGTAGAAAGAAAAGCTGGGACCTAAAAGACTCGAGTGAAAGGTGGGATCTGATCAATCAGGGTCTTAAGGATGTCAGGATTTTTACAAGTAGATTTCCCCAACCCCCCACCTCATGAGGCAAGCTGGACCTGGTTTCCAAAATCTTCTGTATTTGGGGTTTGTATTGTTTTCTTGGTTTGTGCTTGTTCATTTTAGGGTTCATCTCAGGGGTACGATGTCAGTGGAAGTCCCCTCTTGCAGCTGTGTCACCTGCTTTTCCGTTTTGGGGTAGATGAAACCCAGGATCGATGATCTTAGAGGGGCAGCAAGTAGACTGAGGGGATCAGTGAGTGTGCAGTGGGCGGGTGTGTGTGTGTAAAAGAGAGACAATGTCAAGTAATCCATGCAGAAAAAGAATGTCTGGAAACTGATGTGATAGCAATTGTACATTTTACTTGCAATAGTATATTCTACTTGAAGTGCTTGAAATTTGGAATGATGTACGTATCTTAAATTCCAATTAATAATTTTTTTTTAAAAAGATTTCTACAGTAAAGTTGGGGAAAGAGGGAATTCCAAGTAGAAGACGTGAGGAAAGACAGGCACTATTCACAAAATAAATGAGCTGGACCACTTAGCAGTCCTGTAACTAGAATTATAATGAGGTAAAGATTTTGAGACAATGAGGATGTAAGTGTTTATAACATATTTGGGGAAGCTTCAAGAGACATAACTGCTTTATGAAAATATGATTTGTAATGAGGTCAGGAAATGCTATTTTTAAAGTATGGGATATAATGAAATGGTTAGCTCTTATAAGCCAGAGCAAAAGTTGACATCACTCAATTTCACATGTAAGAAATGTGGACAGGGTGCATTTGTCTTATCACATATGTATTTTATCACAATTTGTTTAAAAGTGTAATAACTCTTTGCCTTACTGTCGTTATTTGAGTTCTGCAATAACATGGAAACGTTTGGTGATTGAAAAAAAAAATTAGAAATGGCTTATGGGGCAATTGGTAACTTAACTCTCCAGATTAGAAAAAAATAATTCTCCAAGCTGAAAAGGTCCTCGGCAGACATAGAAAATAGTGTTTTAGGAAACTTTATTATACTGGGTTGTCATGTATGAACTAGGACCACGACTGGCATTGAATTCCTTTGTGCCAGTGATAGTTAACCTAACAATAATTAGAACTTCAAAGAACCTAAGCCAAATCCAGATTTACCTTGAGTTACTTTGGTTAGAGCTAAAATAAAAAATCTATTCCACCTGGTGCCCTGCTCTTTGCTTCTTTTCATGATGCAGCTAGCTCTCTCTGGACCTGACTAGTAAGATAGGTACCATGTTACAGAAATACAGAATGGCCTGCTACATCTTCCCCCTTGATCTGGTGTGCCCACAGCAGAGGAACAGAAGGGTAGGCTCAGTGGGGAGATCCCAGAAAGAAAGAGTTCAAGCGTGAAGAGAATTTGATCTCTGTCCCGACAACAGCTGGCTGGTGTGGGGTAAAGGATCCACAATCCTGGACTTTTAAAGCCCTTGTGGGTGATAGCATCCACTGCATGTAGTGGCCTTTAGCCTTAAGGGAGTGAGGTATATTTGGTAGAAATGCTCAGCACAGTATCTGCTGTTAACAAAATAGCTTTATTTAAAAAAAACAAAAGCACCTGTGTGTTAGACTGGGTAGACTAGGAAACAAATTCATAGACACTCGCATGTATATAAGAAAGAGCTTTATATACCAGAGCAATGGAATATTTAGAAAACATCTCAGCCCAGTCCAGATCAAGTCCATAAGTCCGATATTAGCCCATATGTCAGATACCAATCTATTCTATACTCTTCAGACTCATGAAACACATGCAATGATGCCAAATGCAGGAAGATCACAGGCCAGTGGGTGGAAAATCTTGTGGATCCAGTGGTGGTATAAGCATCTCAGTGCTGGCAGGGGTCTCCACCTGACTTCTGCAGCTCCGAGGCTCTGGCTGCCATCAGCCTGTCTCCATGTGTCTTGTCAACGGCAATGTCTCCAAGGGAGTGGGCATGTGTCCCACCTCCGGTGAGCTATTTATCTCCTTAGCATCTCCAAATGAGGTCATCAAGCTGGACCTGATTGGCAGGCTAAACCCCACCCCTCCACTCTCAAGTTGACACCAGATTATGTAACGCCCACAAGCTACATTTGAAGGAGAGATGAAAAGGCCATCTTTTCTGAGAAGCCATTGCCATCTTGAGCAGTAGCCCTACACGACTATGACTGTCCACTGGTATAATTTCAGAGATTCTAAACTGCCCCCTTTTCTCTTTCTGCCTTCAGGTGTACATTGATCAAGTCTGTGAGGATGTCTTCTCGGGTCCCCTGAACTCTGCTGTGCAGATGGCCGGACTGAGATTGCTGACCAACATGACCGTTACCAATGACCACCAGCATATGTTTAAAAGTTACATTACGGACATCTTCCACGTGCTACTGGCTGGAAATGGAATTACCAAGGTAAGAGGCCTTGTGGAAGTACAGAAAGAAAGCCCTTGTGCCAAGCTTCTCATGATTGAAACAGGACCCTAGTTCACCTTTCTTCAGTTGATTTTATTCACAAAAAGAGATTTATTAAAACCCTTCCATGGGCCCAAGAAAACATTTATTTTCCTCTGAAAATTGAACTATAAAGTTAACTTGTGAGAATCATCAGTTATTTCATTTATCACTAGATTGATGTCCATTTTTTGATATGTGAATCCATCTAACTTTTACTGAAGTCAAGTAGCTAGCCCCCTCCCCCTTCTCCCTTCCTCTAGAAAAGGAACTGGTGGTGCAGTGGGTTATGTTTTGAGCTGTTAACCACAGGTCGGCAGCTCAAACTCACCAACAGCTCTGATGGAGAAAGATGAGGCTTTTGCTTCTGGAAAGATTTACAGCCTTGGAAACCAACAGGGGCGGGTCTACTCTTGTGCATAGGGTCTCTGAGTTAGAATTGATTCAATGGCAGTGGTTAGACATAGGAGCCCTAGTGGTTTACTGGTTACACATTGGGCTACGATCCCCATGGTTGCCAGTTTGAAACCACCATCAGCTCCATGGGAGAAAGACTGGGCTTTCTATTCCCATCAACAACTACAGTCTCAGAAACCCACAGGGGTCGCTATGAGTCAGCACTGACTTGAGCACTGGGAGCTAGGTTGGTTTTTTGTTTGTTTGTTTGTTTGTTTGCTTGTTTGAGATTAAAAGGAGTCCTGGGATAATGTTAGTTGTTGAGTCACCTCCAACTCATGGTGATTCAACTCTGTTGATCGAGGATCCCAATAAAATGAAATTCTTGGCAACTTCAATAATTTCTCCTTGTAGCTTGATGTTTCCTGTGCCACCGTAAGGAAGTTGTATTCCATACGGAATGCGGCGGCGTAGCCTTTGTTCTTCATCTGTGTTTCAAGACCGCTCACTTGCAGCAAGCAGGCTGTGTCCTCATCTGCATAGGAAAGGTTGTTAGTGAGCCTTTCTTCCTAAAACAACTTTTGCATTTTAGTGAAGGGAGTAGATTGACTATATGCAGGATGACTCGATGACCTTGAATAAGCATCTTAAATATCCTCTGTCCGCATGATTAGTAATCACAAGAGATTGGACGACAGCCCCTTGAATAACCCCCCTTTATTAGTGCGTGCTTTTCTCAAACGCCAGGTGTTCAAGATAAAGCATACAAATGAATGTAAATTCAGATTCTGATTGGTAAAGTCGCTGGTTACTTAAGACTTTATTGATCTGTGTTCTCTGCCACGTTTGAGAGAAAAATACACAAGTACTGAAGCTGGACTCCACAAGGTTTGATATCTTGAAAGATACTGCAGGAGGTTGTCAAGGTGTGGCTGTGGCGTTCTGGTTCTTAAATGTCTTTTAAGGTGTGGTCATTTGGGCTTTCTGCATTTAAGTAGCCCAACACTGGCTTCTGGCCCCAGAAGTACCCAGAGGCGTTCAAAATTAAATGTAAGTCATCTTATAGCAAGACTGCTGCTTCCACAAGCAAGTTCTGACACACCCATAGTTGTCAACATCATTCTCTCCAGTGGAGCAAGGTAACTTTGAGCTCCTGTGATCCAAATGATAACTCCTGACCCTGTTCCTTCCATGGCATTTCCAACACAGGAAAAAGCTCCTCACGACCTGCCCCTGAAGCAACTGTGCCCCAACGCGCAGGAGGAATGCTAGGCCCACAGCCAGGCAGGTCTGACCGGGGCTGTGCAGAGATCTGTCTCAGAGATGGTGTGTGTTTTCCTGTTTTAGGACTTTAAAGTGGTGATTCATGCCATAATTTTACTTTAAATTTTCCTTATTTTGCAGGGGGCATAGTTTTCTTCCTTCCTTTCTTTTTTTTTGTATGTTGCCCAGTACATTATTTCTGGGATTAAAAAATTTACTTTTGTGGTCTTCCTGGAAGTGTAAGTACAAATGAAGGCACTGTTTCTCTGTAAAAATGAGCTTCAAGTTCCAACTCATCAGTCAATGTTGGATGGTAATCATTGGTGGGTTGGAAAATGTATCTTGTTTCACAACCAAAATATTTTCTTCGTAAATAAGCCACCAACATGATTTTTCTACAGAACATGATTTGCTTAAAGGCAATGATCTCACTGTACTATAATAACCTTCTGCCTACACCACTGATTCATGACTAAATATAAGTAATAGAGGTTAGGTTAATATAAATAAACTGCGTGCATGCTTCATCTGTAATGCATGCAAATAAGATTAATAGCTTAAAAGAAATACCCAGTAGTCACCACAAGGTGGCACATGTGACAACAGGAAAAAAAAAAGCTGAGGGCTTAATAGGATTTCAACCCAAAATACATACTTGTTCCAGCTATAGTTATAGTCTAACTTGATGTATTTTTCCTCCAGTTGCACTATCTTCTGCAGAGTATGCCATCTACCACCAATGAGTCAGCTCCGACTCCTGGCAACTCCGTGCGTGTCCGGGTAGAACTGGGCTCCACAGGGTTTTCAGTGGCTGTTTTCCGCAGTAGTTCTCGAGGCCTTTCTAACGAGCACCTCGGGATACACTTGAACCTCTAACCTTTGGGTCAGCAGCCAAGTGTGTGAATAGTTTGCATGGCCCAAGGGTTCTCGGTGGTTCATAGCAATGCACTAAAAAGCAAGGGGCCATGTTATTGTTTAGTCTTGGTAGCCAAACTGTTCTAAAATTAATATACTTTTAAGTAGAAATTCATTGAACTTTTGAAAGAGCTTTTACTCAACGGTAAGCATAATAGGTTGATTAATGCATGTTAAAGTGACTGGGCGTAGTGTATTGTGTTAGGTGCGTGAGAGGGGGATTGTGAACGTATGCCCAGTATTTCCCCTCCATAGCAATCTAATTGGAAAATTCGAACTAGTACTGCTCTGTGAGAAGTGCTCGGAGAGTGGTGCCAAGTCCTCTGGGAGAGACAGAGGCTGGAGCCTGAGGACCGGAGTGAGAACTGAAAAGGTTTCGTGGGAGGAGAGAAATGGAGGCAGGCCACGAGTATAGGCAAAACTGTAACCAGTGGAAATGTTGAGAGGCCAGCAGGCCAGTAGGAGAGAAGGTGTGCCTGTTAGTCTGAAATCAGTGCTACTCTTCTTTCAGGTTCAGGTTCTGAAACTGCTTTTGAATTTGTCTGAAAACCCAGCTATGGCAGAAGGACTATTTGGTGCCCAAGTAAGTAGCTTACCTATTTGTTTTCTGAATATACAGATATATGGATTTGGACCCACAGGTAAATCTTTAAGATAAACCTGGTCCTTTAAGATAAATCTTAAAAAAAGATAAATCTTAACCATACAAATAGCTCTTTTCACATATGTAAGTTTCCTAAATGTCCAATACTGTATACCGAATTTTTTTGCATATAACTCTCCCATGTAAGTCACTCACACATGTACATAAGCCTAGGAAACTAAAGTGTGCAGGAGGTGGCAGTTGGCGAAAACCTGGTGCATGTTATTTGCATAAAAGTACTTTGTTTGCTTCACTTCGCACAATATGTGTTTTTCTGATGAAGGTTCTTCTCAATTTGATGCCTTATCTTTCTTAGCGTCTGTCTCAAACTAGACCCTGTTCAGACATGTTACATAACCAGTGCAAGTTTATTTCAGTACTGCCTTCTACACCAAAAATATTTTTGAAACCCATGCATTTCATTAGGTACATTTTCCATGACCTGTTGGGAGACCCGTCCTGTATAAGTCATGACAGATGCTGGTCCTTATGGAACAGTCTGATGGAAGAGACAGACCTGACCAGTACCTGTGAGGTCATTAAGCTTTGAGTAGTGTTCTGAAGTAGTGTCCTGTCGAAGTGGCACCCATGTATTCATCCTGATCCTTATGACGAGTTTTAAAATGTGAAGTCTTGATGCCATTTTTAAGTGAGAGTATGTCTGGGCCAGGTTTTCATCTACGGATAATACTCCTGGTTTCCTCTTTCAGGTGGATGCGTCATTCCTGTCCCTCTGTGACAGCCATGTAGCAAAGGAGGTTCTGCTTCGAGTCCTTACCCTGTTCCAGAATTTAAACAACTGCGTCAAAACGGATGGTAGCTTAGTTCTGAGGTCTACATTCATGTTTCATAAAGGTTCATTGTTTTTCCTGTTATATGGACAAGAATGTGCCCAGAAAATGAAAGCTTTAGTTAATCACCCTGATGCAGATGTGAAGGAAAAAGTTCTCATAATCACGTAATTCTCATTGGCCATATTTCCAGAGAGCAATGCAGTCTGGAAATAATCCACATTATAAATCTACTTTCCACCTTCCGTATAAAGCAAAAGGGAGTTCTTTCAGCTGTTGAATTGTAAACAGTAAATATCATGTTTCCTCATTAACACAGCTACAACTTGCCATGGTCTCCAAGTTTGTTTTGGATTATTTTATTGAGATACCAAATGAATACTAGCGCTTCTACTGAAAACATTTCTTTGATTTTGTCTAGATTGAGATGCTTTAGTTATTTCCTCTGTATGAAGTGACTTTTTTATGCCTCCGTTGCCGTCTACCGTTTGCAGTGATTTGCGGTTAAGAGGGTGACCCTGTGTTAGCAGAACTGCAGCGTATGTTCAAGGCTGTGACCTTCCGGAAGCAGATCTTCTTCCCCCAACACCCCCCCCCCAGCCCCCTTCAAGCTGTCTTCCGAGGCACCTCCGGATGGGGTTCAACTGCCAGCCTTTGGGGCTTATTGTCAAGCACCTGACCATTGGGGCCACCCAGGGACATTCATTCATATGTCATTCATTGAGTGTTTGAGAACGGCATGAGAATCACACCGTCCTTAGTGATGAGATCCTGAGTCCTCGAGTCTACTGCCGACCCCGTCACCCTGCTTTCACAAACCCGCTCCAATCATGTGCTTCTAGTTGATGAAAACATGTAAACTTAGGAGAAAGTGTGTCCTAGTACTTGCCCACTCCCACTCAACGTGCCAGTATGTAAAAATGCTACTAATAAAAATACTGGGATTGATCAAATTGTCCATCCCTCAGCAATTGGGTAAATCTGTTGTTCTGTCTTTAAAGGGAACAGAGTGGCTGTGAGTGTGCTGATGTCAAAAGGCATACATGAGATAAGGTGGTTTTCTGAAACACTCTGGCAGAAGATGTACGTGATCCCATTTGTGGTTTTGTAAGGGAAAGATATTTATGTTTATATATACACAGAACACGTCCACAGTGATACGCCAACTCTCGGGATTGGGGAAATGATTTGTCTATATATTCTCTTCTACTGTTTTTTACTCTGAGCATAAATTTTATAATGTTTTTTTTTAATAAAGAGGAAAATCATGAGGTTATGTATATTTTCTTCCCTTAATTGATAGTACTTTTTTCATTTCCATCCTTATTCTACTTGACTAAAATAAGATTGGAAAAGATTTCAGCATTTAATTTTCTTAACCTTTTTATTTCATGAAGTATCATTACAATTTATTGTTATATTTGCATTCAGCCAGGATATCTAAAAGTGTAAAGGTTATAACCCTCAGCATGCTTAGCAATAAGTCAATGTGCAAGCACAAACTGCAACTCAGTGTACTTTAAGGCAGAGCCCCGGTGCTTTGAATCTCCTCTGTGAATACATGGGTACAACTGTTTCCATAGGTCACAAATCCTTCAACAGAAAAAAACGTGTGTTCTCAGGCTTAGCCTGATACAGAAATTATCCTTTGGGGGAATATTCATTCATACAGTATAAGAAAAGGCCCACTATAAGGTGTAAATGAAAATTCCCAAGGGACTGGCATTGGAAAGGATACATGACGGCTGAGAGTGATGTCGTTGTATATTGGTGGTGAAGATAAGTATTCACTCCCTGAAAAGGCACATTTCTTTATAACGATTTTTCTTCATCTGCCTCCTTACTTAATGAAGATATGTATTCAACATGTGCACATATTAAAAACCTGTATTGAGCTTCTATGTGTTTGAGCAGCACTGGCTTCTAAATCTCCATCTCTTTATTCTCTCCCTCATTCGTTTGAATGGAATGACTCACACATCAGTTTCTAAAGATCAGAGCATTGAGCCTAAAATGTTGAAAATGCTGGATTTGAAAGAGTTATTTTTAACTCCTCACAAAGAAGTATGTGGTGGAAATGCACAAGTAGAACTTTAATCTACCAATGGGGGTCATGGCACACCTTAGCTTTTATTAATGAGACTTTTCTTAATTGAAATAACCCCACCACCCTCTTTGGCAATGAGGCATAAAATGTCCTCAGTTACTACACGGAGAAAAGGAATCTTTAATATCTTGTATATTGATTGTGGATGCTAGCTAATAAAAGAAAATGAGACTGACTTAGAGCATACGTTCCCAAATTTATTTATCCCACTGCCCCCTTGTCAGAGAGAGGGGGGGAAAAAAGCTTGGCATTCCCCAGCAATTAAAAACTTTCATACTGTAGCGTCTTGATTCGGGATAAAGTGTAGGTATCTGCTTGCACAGCTCATGCCACTGCCAGGGGGCAGTGTTGCATTCTGTGGGAAACATGGGTTAAGAGGATAAGGTACATGCATACTGGCCTGAATGGAGGGAAGAGATTGTATTTGCCATATTTTGCAACATTTATCTTTCATATAAACCCTTCAAAAATGTAACAAGTGAAAAATAAAAGGGTAACCCACTTTACAGGGTCAGGAGACAGCCTTGTGTGCTTTGGCCCACAGGTCTTCATACAGTCAATGTGGAGAGGATGTGAGTGGTAAATAAACATGGCTGGTGAGGACACCAAGAGAATGAGGCAGGTCCAATTAAAGTGGGACTAGAACATGACGATTTAAAGTGCATAATGACTCAGTTAATTGGTACATGAGTACAAAAATAAGGCTATTATGGAAAAGAAATACTTAAGATAAGATTTGGCTTGCTTCACTGAGCAGAGGTAAGATACGGGTTTTCAGTTCAGCGTGCAGTCGCAAGAAAGGTGGCTGAGAATGTTGGCTTGTTTGAGGGCAACATGCCCCGAAGCTAACCTATCATGAACCCAACATCTTAAGTCCTGTCTATTTAAATCGTCCCTTGGAGTGAGAACGCCATGCTTGTGTATGTTTTCCTGATAAAATTCTCGTATGGGAAAATTATGCTTTAGTATCTGGAAATCACATTTACAAACACCATCTATACATGTCTCGAATGATTGGCTTCCTTATAGATAAAAATGCTAAGTTTAGAGAAAGATCATGTACTGTGTTTTGATTGTTAATCTCCAAATGTATAAAGTGAACTAAAACGTAGTCCTCAGTGTTCTGTGTCCTAAATATGAATGCTTAAATTTGCAGCAGGAACAATACATTATCGAAAGCTTCAGCCTCTTTCATCTTCAATCTTACCCAATTATATTAGGCAGTGGTATCTTAAGTCTTTTCCCCCATACTTTTAACACGCTTTTTTTTTTTAATCACTACATATCCTTCATATTTTTCAGAGGTAGGTCAAAATCATCCTCTTGTTGCACATGAGGAAATTGAGGCACAGTGAGCCTAAGTGACTTGTTTCCAGTGACAGAAAATCCATTATAAAAGCAAAATGCAAATTCAGACGTAGTGGCAAATGTGCAGGCAAGCTTTTACATGCATAGAGATCAAATTAAGGTGCTACCTATATAGCGATTAACAGAGAAAGTTTTGTGTAAATAAAAGGTCCCACAGATTATGGGTCAAGAAGATAAAGTGGGCCTCTGATAGTATCTAATGCAGCTCCCTCACTTAGCAGAGCTCAGATTAATTCAAAAGTTTTTAGCTGCTAGCAAGGCAATTCTGACTCAGTGACCAGATAGGCTTGCTCACAGGGTTTCCAAGGCTGAATTCTATATGGCACAGATAGCAGGAACTATCTGTGTAGGCCTGATCCATTATGGAGGTCAGATGAGCCCCTGAATCTTATTTTATGCCACGAGTGTTTACATTGGAGCCCTGGTGGCACAGTGGGTTACACGTTGGACAGCTAAGCACAAGGTACGCAGTGCAAAACCACTCACCGGCCCAAAGGTGAAAGATGAGGCTTTCTATTCCCGTGAAGAGTTACGGTCTTGGAAACCCACAGGGGCAGTTCTACTCTACAACAGAGCTGCTCTGAATCAGAATTGACTCAAAAGCAGTGATATTTTTGTTTGTTTTATTCCGCACGGGCTTAGTAAAAAACAGATGCATGCTTTGGTAGCCCAGGTCACATGGAGTTGTTTTCAACTCACTGCAACCCCAATTGACAACAGAACTGCCCACAGGGTTTCCTAGGCTGTAACTGTGATGAGGACAGTTAGCCAAGTCTTTCTCCCTTAGAGATGCCGAGTGGCTTCAACCATCAACCTTTCAACTTGTTCCCCTAGGGTTCCTTGAACCCTAAATGCTTTGGGGTCATTTAAAATAAAAATATAAGACCGATGCATCATGTAAAACAAAACATCTTACTGATAACATCTGGAATTAGACCCAAGAAACAACAACCAAAAATCAGTGTGTGCAGAGAAATGAAGAGAATAAATAAAGTTCAATTCAAAATGTGCGGTCTATATTCACAAGGAGCCCCGGTGACTTCATGGTTAAAGCAGTTGGCAATTAAAAAGGTTGGCAGTTCAAACCCACCAGCTTCTGTGCGGAGAGGTAGGCGGCCATCTGCTCCTGCTCCTGAAAACGACTGCAGCCTTGGAAACCCTGTGAGGCGGTCCTGCTCCGCCCCAGGCGGAACCAACTCCTGGGCAACAGGTCTGCTTCTGGTGAGTCTCCACATTTAAGGCCTTAGAACATCCGATTACATGAAATCTGATTGCTATTGCATGATACAGAATTCCCATCTAAATGGAACTCATGCCAAAGATGATGTTGGAGAAAGGCATTACCAACAATTTGAAGAGTATAGAATGAGAGAATATGTATAAGCAAAAGCTACAGCAAATACTTCTAGCCAAAGGAAAAGAGGACTATCCTCAAAATCGCCAGCCAAATTTAGATAGTTGGTTAAAAAAAAAAATTTTTGTAGCTATATTTGTGCTTAGTAGATCTGAATTTTAGATTAAAAATAGAAAATACCTTAAATGACATCAACAGGCACACTGCTCCCTGCCTCCAGCCAACTTAGAGGGCATTTGATTTGGGGCTACAGACATGCATTGGAATAAACTGCCCCGCCTCTTAAAAAGTTAAGTCTCCCCAAACAGGTAACTTAACCTAAGCCCTTATGTCTCCATGGTTATATGCTTTAAAAAAAATCACTTAGCATTTGGAATATATCTTAATATTATCAGAGCAAAACTGTGACTATAAGCATATTGGAATAGATTCCATCAATTACTATAATGTGGATACGAGAATTATGTTAATATTACTATGCACACCTCTGAAAAGAGTCTTAAATACAGTCTTACCTCACCTTGTACAATGCCCTGAAAATCAATCTGAATTTTCACCTCAATTTTTCCTATCTTAAAAATAAATCAACTACAAATTAGGGAAGAATGCTTTCGTATAGATATTGCAATTGCCATGTTTGTATCATTGATAAAAGATTTAAGATCCACATTAGCTAATTGTTATTTAATGAATTATAAATGATCCAACTCCCTTCTTTGTGTATATAAACTGGCAATCTTATCTAAGTAAACAAGTTATTATGCAGGACATAAAACACTATCTTGCAGAAGTTATTTCCAAATATAAAAAATAATGCTGATGAGTTTCTGAGTCTTTTCATTTGCTTTGCAAACTCAATTTCGTTGAGACCTTTTCCACGAAGCATGCTTGAACCCATATTTATTCCAAGTTTTCATTGTCAGAATTTAGGTATCTTGATTCTCCATGATTCAAGACAAAAAAATCTTCTGGGTTAAGTCCATATCTTTCTAGAGCTTCATGCAGCTTCTCTGGAGGCTCTAAGTAATGCTGGCAAAGAGAAGAGAAAGAAAAAGAAGATGAAGAAAGATTAACCCACCAACTATTTGGAGGACATTTAAAATAAGAGTTCAAACTAAAATGTTCAATAGATACCTACTTAAATACATTTTCTTTATAAAATTTGCTAAAACATTAGCAGATGAAGCAATCACACTTTCTAACACCAAACCAAAACATCAAACTCACTGCCATCCTATAGGGTAGGGCAGGGCAGGGTAGGGTTGCCCCATGAGTTTCTGAGGCTACAGCGTTTACAGGAGTAGAAAGCCCTGTCATTCTCCCTCGGAGTGGCTGGTGGTTTCAAACTGCTAATCTTTCAGACAGCAGCTAAATACATAACCACTACACCACCAGGGCTCCTTGCTTGTTTGTTTTTTAATGCAGAAGTAGGTTCCCCCTACTTTCAATTAGAAGAGTTATATGTTGTTCCAAGTATAAAACAGGAATAAAAGTCAAACAGCCTCTGATGTAAGCACCAGCCTCCCCACCTCCACCTCACACCCTTCATGCAAAGGCTATCTTTTAAGCTCCTACAGTGTGTGCTAGAAAAGGGGGCCAAGCAAATAAGATGTAGTAGTTACATAATCTGGTGTCAATTTGGGACTCCAGAGGATTAGGAGTGAAGGGGTAGAGTCTAGTCTATCAATCAGGTCATAGCCAATGAGGCCTCTGTGTGGGCATGGCCTTCCCCTGAGGATTCTGGGAACTCCTGGATTTCCTCCTTGGAGGCAAGAGACACTCTCTGCTCACTCTTTTGGAGACTACTGACAAAGCTCACTCCCTGACATTTCTGAAAAATCACATAAGGCTACCCTGAGGCAATCAGAATTTCAGAGCTGAAGTAACCATGTGGGGACCCCTGCCAGTGCTGAGATGCTTCCACTGCCACTGGATCCACAAGACTTTCACCCCAGTGGTCTGTGATCTTCCTGCATTCAGCATCATTGCATGTGTTTCATGAGTCTGAAGAGGACTTAATAGATTGGTATCAGACATATGGGCTAATATCAGACTTGTGGACTTGATCTGGACTGGGATGTTTTCTCAATATTCAATTGCTCTTATATATAAAACTCTCTCATACACATCTACGCATCTCTGAGTTTGTTTCTCTAGTCAACATGGACTAACACAGAACAGAATCACGTGTACAAAAGGTCAGAAGTTTGGTTTGGTTTCTACTGGACATCCAAGTAGAGATACCAAATAGTCAGAGTTGACTATACAATTCTGCATTAAAGGGGGGAACTCGGAGGTAAGGAAGTACATTGGATAGATACTATGTAAAGCCATAAAAGCAAAGAAATCCTAGGGACGACTTGAAGTCTATAAACTGAATGCTAAATTTAAGAAATTTCAAAATTATAAAACTCAATGGTTGAAGGGAGTGAAGGTAAGGAATGGAGACTAAGTAGAGACCAAAACAAACAAACAACAAACTCACTGCCATTGAGTCAGTGCATAACCTCTATCGGCCCTACAGCACAGTGTACAGCTGCCCTGTGAGTTCCCGAGACTGTACCTCTTTACAGGAGTAGAAAGCTCCATCTCTCTCCCCAGGAGCGGCTGGAGCTTTTATAGTGCTGACCTTGCAGTTAGCATCCCAACATAACCACGATGCCAGACAGCTAACGATAACGGGGGAAACCAGAAAAGCTTCCTAAAATGGACAGGTTCGCAATTGTTACTTGCCACACAGAGATGTTTTTTTCCCTTTAGCTCACTTCCGGAAGCAAATTGACTCCTGAGTAAATTCGCTTTCACAGTACCTCTCTTACCCAGTACCCCTCAGGACGACCACTTACTAATGGATTGGTTGACAAGAGCAATTTGTTTTTGTCTCTTTTGTGTGTTGAAAAAGGAGATCACTAATAAAATGTAATAGGTCAAGTCAAGAAATTGCAAAATTTCCCTTGCAAAATTATTTTGGTTTAAAAGATTTCAAAATTATGAAATTCTTCTCTATTGGAAAATAAAGTGTTTCTGGTTTTGTCTGCCCCGCCCCCACCCCTGAATCTTGGCTAACAATACACATTTACATTAGGTTACATACAATTTCTTTGCCAAGCTACAACTTTAGCGTGAAGCATTTGATGATATGTGGATTTAGTATGGATTACAATGTTGTCTGAGTTGGCTGTTATAGACCCTGTATTTTTTTCCACTATTTTTTAAACATTTTGATTGGCACTTAATCCACATATCACATAATTGAATAGTTCAATCATATCAAGAAGAGTTGAACAATCATTACCACAATCAATTTTAGAACATTATCTTTTCCCCTGTGGTTAAATCACTTTTTAAAATGAGTTGTGCAATCATCCATTCTAGTGCTCCCTACCCCCTCCCACGTACATTGTTTGCTCCCCCAAACCCCTCACCCTCCCTATATCCCAACCCCCCTACATCCCCTATAAACCCTTGCATCAGTTCTTATCTCTATACATCTACTCCTGTGCTTTACAAACTGGAAAACCCAACAGAAACAATAAAAATAAATAAATAAAGTGGTAAGAATAAAATAATAATAATAATATAGAGATAAAAATACAAATTAATGAGTAAGAAAGAAAAAAGATCACCATGAATATTTAAAAGGCCAGGGAGGAAATTTTGGCCATGGAGCAAGCAACAAATGCTTGCACCTAAACAAACCCAGGGACAAGGGAGCAACAAGTGATCCAAATTGGTGGTGAGGTGGGTGTGGGAGGCCTGGTAGGGCATGATCAAGGGGAATGTAACAAAGAGGAATTGCTGAAACCCTGGTG